TCATTGTTTGCCACGTTGCATCCCATTCTTCTTTCGCGCATTCTTTCGCTTCCTCTGTCATTCTATTTTCTCTTCTAACAGTCGCGATAAAATTATTTCAACTTCTGTAACAAAAGGCAGGTGAAGTTCAGTATTCTGACGACAACAATATCATCTTTTCGTGACTTCATCTTTTTCTTTCTCAATATTCGATCTTATTATTTACTGAATATAGAGACACTAATCCCCATTTTATTCCTTAGAATTAGATAAGATTGTTATTCCCAGTCATTTGACTGAGATTGATTGACAAATTACAGGATTGGTGACTCCTAAATACAGTACGAGATCAGTCGATCAGTTTGTTAAAAAAAAATGGCAAATATACAAAGATACAAAAATTTTTATAATTATTTAGTTATTATTTAATACTTATTTCAATTCACGATTATAAATGTAATATTATAAGAATTTAAATGAATAAATATATGATTCAACTTGAGAAACAAACTGATCGGCTCAACCAGATAAGCAACTTTAGATTCTCGCACATGGAATTTGCATATTTCTATGTAGAAATGCCCGTGAAAAGTGCTTTCGATTCTCGAGATAAAACTGTGACGGTCAATCGCGCGAACAGAAAATTATCGATCGTAACCATACTCATTTTTGAGTGGTTTTTCTCGCATTTTCAAAGCCAATCGCGAGATCACCGACATATCATTGATGGTTCACGAAATTAAAATATTTAAGGCAGTACTTATAAGTTTGTCCTAGGAAATTTATTATAAATAATCACATTCTTTTTTCTTCTTTTTATAGTTCACTATACAAGGCTCCGTTTTTTTCTTTTCCTCGCTTGTGTATGTATGGCTCATGGTTTTTCGTTTTTCATTTTTTACCTATTTCTTCAGTTATATTTTTTCTTCTCTTTTTTTGTTCACCTTCAAAAAATAACAGCGTTAGCACCCCAAATTCCTCGTAGGAGAGTTATCCCACGGAAGAACAATTTCGTAATTCTTGCTCTTCCTTTATCTCTTACTCAATTCAACCTCTCCCCAGTTTTCATTTCTTTTTTGCGAAAGAAATCTCTAAATCAACAAAACTAATTAAACAAGCGTTAACAAAAGCGTACATACGTCTTCTGTTCTTTTTTTATATTTGTTTACGCGTATATGTTTCTTCTTTTTGTATTTCTTGTTGATTATACCTTCTTAATTTCACTTATCTGATCTATTATACTTTGCGTATACGTTCTTTGTTCCTTTCTTTCACGCAATTCTGTTGTGTTGACGTTTATAGCAATATTTTCGCACCGTTCCAAAGCCCAGCCCCGGAATTCAATTATTTCGAAATAATTATTACATATATATATTTATACATATATCTTAATTCATCTAGATTTTTGTGTTCGTTGACGTACGTTGCCGTTGAGCGAAACGATATATTCGAAAAGCCACGGCCCAACCAGGATCGATCTTACTTCGAAAAGTCTCTTAAATATAATCGACTTCCTTTTTCTTCATATAATGAACACATAATTACATAATAATCCTTCTTGCATTGAAAGGATGTCATATTTGAGTATTTTAATGTTTCAATCTATATTCCCGTGACGTTTCGAAGGCGATCGATCGACTGACGCGAAAGCAAACACGCTAAACGAAAACAGCAGCACCGTGTAAAAATACAGCTGTCGCGTAAATACTTCACGCGATTAATCGCAAAGTTTAACATCTTTTGCGCGAAGAAACGAAAGGTCTATCTCAACTTCCGGTCTGTCACGCAAACTTATAGTTTTCCCCTTACTTTCCCCTTCATCAATAAAGATCTCTCATCTTTTTACTATATAGATTAAAAAATTAAATATAAAACTGGTGCTAAAAATGTATGTTTTGAGCATATCTTTCTTATATGAAAAAATAAATGTTCACGTTCATTTGCGAAATTCATCGCAAGCACGAATCGCGTCTTTACGAAAGAAATGCATCCAGTTTCACGATAGTAAATGAGATCTCCTATCGAACGAAACAGGATTTCTTTTCTTTTTTCTTTTAACTATCATCGGACCTGTCAAAAGCTAGAGCACGGTACATGAATCGATGATGGATTCTATCCGTACACGCTTCATCATGTTCTATATCCTAGAAAACATATTTAATAGCGCAACTGGGCCACGAAACGGAGAGAGGCGATGATTTAATGATGATGATTGTGTTTGTCATTTGATCAAGTGATCAAAGATGATTTCAGCTTTGATCTTGCGACAGGGCACCGTATTTGTTGCCCAAAGAGAGCTTCGGCGCTTGAGCTTGCGCATCCTGCACACTGTATGACCTACTGCCTCCTCGATTACGAACTTCTTCAAATGTACCTTCATCTCGTTTCCTAAAATAAAATTTTAATTAGTTTTTTAAATAAATGCAATTTTTTTACAACATTTTGATAATGTTTGAAAATATCAGTAATCCATACCGCCTTCCCCATGGTCCACTGGGTTCATTGCTCTGTTGCTGTTTGGAATTTAAAGTTGGAAAATATTCTTCACTATGTATGTCCGGTGCAACATTTTTCGCTCGTTGTCTAGGACTAGCAGCTACTGTCTGAATATTTCTTAAGTGTGGTGGCTTATAACTACTTCCTGAAGTAACAGGTGGTGGTGGTGGTGGAGCTATTTCTGTTACTTCTGGTTGTGGAGGAAGTTCAGGCTTCTTCCAAGGACCTGAATGTTTTAGGCCACCTTCTCCTGATTCTCCATCCGAGCTATTGTCTCCTGTACCTTTTTCATCATCTGATTCTGCATCTATGGATTCGTTAAGTGTTAGGTTTCCAATTTTCAAACCAGTATAATCTTTCTTTTCTTCTTCAAAGTCTCTCCATTCATCTTCATCCTAAGAAAATATATTTGTTAAACATGTAAAATAATGCAAAAATTTTTATGTAATTTATAAAGGATACACATTGTAAAAATAAAAAAAAAAGTAATAAAATGAACTTTTTCGTTCAAAGAAATAAATTCTCAATTCTAACATCGAAAAGATCATCGATTTGCGATAATAATCTTAGAACAGCTGCTCTGTTTCGGTAAGTTTACAGCAAAAAATATTTGTGTTTGTATAACAATTCAATTATGTAACGAACGATATGACCATTAGACAACAAGAGAACACGAATCACATTAGATTTAAAGAATTCAAGAAAGCAGATTAGTTTCAGTAATGGTACGAATGACGTTTACACGAACAAATATGGCAGCGACCTATAGCGCACGGTAATCGACAGTTTCGCATGAACAATTTCTGATTTAAAAGTCAAAAGTTTAAGGAAAAACGAAGAAGAAGGAACACGCACGAAACGAACGTATCACCTCGGTTTGTTGAGTTTCCTCGCCTTCCGGATTCACTGGTTTGTCTTTTGATTTCTTTCCCAAACGTTTACCCGTCTCTTCCAATTTCTTCGCTATCTCCTCCGTGGTCGTAAATTTTTTTCCTTTTGCTTTTTTACGATCTTTTTTTGCGAAGAAGTCATCCAAATCAGCCATATTGTTATGACTTTCGCGATATACGCGGCGTGATTATTCGAAGAACAAGTTTTTTCACAAGAGCACGAGGAACAGCCTTAGTACAGAATGATCTGAGGCACCGCTGCTGCTGTCCACATGGGCTTGTCTTGGCCGGAAGTCAGTCAGATACTTCGAAGTCAATGGAACTTCCAAATGCAGAGTCAATTTTCACAAGAACCGATTTACATTATAGAAACTACATTGATAAATCGTAATAAACGACAATATAATCCTTTTATTATTGGATATTATTTTAGCTTCATAAAACACGGAGAAATTCTATTCTTAACTTAGAATATGTGGCGCTGACTGTCTAGCAGAAGACCAACACAAAAAAATTCACGGGCTACCTAACCTAGAAACGCAGTCGCATGTTTCAAAAATATCAAGTCATTCGAATTGTTTCATAAAAGTTAAAAAAAAATCGATGAACTAGATTACTTACGAATCAAAACTGTGATTCAAGAAATGGTAAAAAGAGTTAATATGTATTATAAACGTAACTTATGCAGAGGTTAATTGATCCACAATTCCTGTATGTGGCATCTACCGTTGATGGCGCCACTTTTTCCTTTACTTCCGGAATATGAAATGACGCTCAAACTGATATTACTCTTGAATAAAATAAAAAAGTATGTTAATTTCATATTTAAATAAAAATAAATAAACTAATTGATTCCATTCAATTCAATCATCATAGATTATAACTTGTACACATGTATATTTAAACAAGAAATACTTCTACAAATGTATTATCGCTTTTTTTTACATAACTATTTTCAATTAATGTAATTATTTATTAGACTGAATAAAATTGAACCATTTCTTGTTTTAGAAAATATACAAATTATTTATCTATCTATATATATATATATATAATAATAATAATATATATATATCATATGATTCTTTTTAATTAACTTGTATTTGTTTTTCTAAAAAAAAATTATTTTTATGAAAATAATTCCTATCTTTAATCCTATTAAAAGTTTTATTATTATGGATTTCACATATAAAATTCAAAGTTTTCAAAATTTTATCACAAAATAAAAAATTCATTGCAATTAAAATGCTTTTTAACAATCACAAATAATAAAAACACAACAATAAGATTGCATAATATTTTAAATGTGGCGCCTTGAGCAACCCCACTTTTATTCATTTGATAGAAGCTACGCAGCCGCGAATATCAGAGAGAACATATAGAGGACCCCTTTCTTGAAACACCAGTAATCATCTCTAGCCTTGCCACGAACCATTGCGATCGGAGGTGTCTCCTATCCTCGAGCCGGCGTACTACACGAAGAAGCCTCGCTAATTCAACCTGCCTGCAGTAGATTCTCTGCTCGGCGAAGGCTGACAGTGTTTTTTTAAGCGTCAAATTTAAGATTTTATCTGAGAGAAGAAAATCGAAGGGAAACCAAGTCCAAAAGTTTCATGTGTTACGACGTACAACGAGATGAAGCTCACGCAAAAGTGTCTTGGAAATATCAGCAAGATGTTGGACTTTTATTCGCAATTCAATCCTTCGCCGCTTTCGATAAAACAGTTCATCGATTTCGGTGAGTGTGGAAAGGTTGCTTTATTGGTAAACGTTACATAGCTTGTACAACTTCAAACCTCGAGTGTTAGGTATCGACAAATTCTAGACCATTTCTTTTTTATTGTTCGTTCCTTTTTACTTTCATTCTCCCATACCATTGTTTTGGCAAGTGAAGAGAGAGAGGAGGAGGGGAGCGGGAGAGAGAGAAAGAAAGAGAACGGCAGCAATCGAACAACGACCCTAAAAGAACATAAGACATTATTTTCAGGGTCATTTCGATATAATCCCTTAATAATTCCGGGGCATCGTCTCCGTGATTAATTTACGTTTTTTGTATTTGTCTGCATCGAGAAATGAATGTCAATCATAGTGTTACATATTTCGATTATTCTATCGAAAATGGAGTTAATTCGCGATAATTAGAAAATTTGAGATAATTTAATTATATCATTCAAATTATTAGATTATATAGTATTTATCTAATCTTCACCAAAATATATGATTAATTAATCATTGAAAAATATTTGCGATTACATATACGCAAAATTAATCAAATGATTAATTATACAAAAAAAATATAAACTTAAATTCGTATAATTTTTGTGAAGTTTTATATATATAATCTTCTCTTGTTTTTTCTTTTTATAAAATTAAATGAAAAATTTATGATTATAAGTAAACATCGATTGAAATTATATCAATGGTAAAAAGAAATTTTTCTTCTTATTAAGGGGAAAAAAGAGTCACGAGATTTACATATAAATTATGGCGGGAAATTTAGCAAGATAATTTATTAGAAGAAGTGATTTTTAAAAATTTTTCAATATTTATAAATATTTTCTTATATTTTTCTTTTATCATTAAAAATTTGTTTTTTTTTTTTTTAATTTCAAGAAAACTGAGTATTAAATTTTTAAATTTTCGGAATGAAAAGATGTAAGGTTGCTGCTCTTTCCTTGTATCGATCTTTAAATGTCACTGCACTCGTGAAAATGTTAGATTCGTAACAATTTTATTAATTTGAATATATACTGCATTTTTGTTTTCTAATTTATTCGATATATTTATAATTTTAGTACAATGAATCTAATCATTCTACTATAAAGATCGCATTAAACTGAAATTAATCGATAAATTTTTACAATTTTTGGACTTGTTTCAATCATTCTCCGCCAACATTTCTATAGAATTATATATTCATTTCTTTCTCTTATTCCTCGATATAAAATTATTTGTTTTATATTATAATTCTTTCAGCTTTATTAAGCAATTTTATTAAATAAAAAAATAACAAAACAAAATTTTTGAAAAAATTCCATATAAATTTCATTCGATGATTTGTTATTAAAAAAAAAGTACTTAGAAATTTAAAAAATGTATTTTTACATCTTTTTCATATGTAAAAATCTTTTTGGACTATCTCCTAATAATAATTAAGATAAAGAAAGACATAACTCTTATCAAATTCAACATTATTCTCGTTCACTCTCGAAGTTGTGTGTGTATTTCGTCTGTCGGTCCTTTGTTTTCGAACTGTCAGACGTCATAGACGTCACAGAGTCCAACACGCCTCGTATTTCATCATCGCACTATTCCGTTAATGAATCGACCACTTGATATACAAGATACATCATATATTTATTCATCGTATAATCCATATGTGAAAGAAATCATCTACGAACTTTACTACACGGATATTTTAACAATTCATTGAATTCGCAAATAGAATTTTTATTTCCGACTTCTTCGATTTCTTTCATTGTAATATTTTCTCATGTCTTGTCGATTTAAAATTAATGTCAATATCGTTACAATTTTTATAATGATGTCAGAATTTAAACGATTCCGCGGAAAAAGCATTTTGCGTTGTTATCATACTATGCAACGTTTGTTTGCGCGACTGACAAATATACTAATGGCGTATCACGAGTTTTAATAACATCCTGTTTCCTCTTTGATCCAAACTATCTACTGTTTGAAATTAATCGCGTGTATTTTCGCACGTAAATACCAAGTCACGAGTTCTCCTATGTATTCTATTGCTTTTTAAAGAAAATATGTACAAACAACAAGCAAATATCGAAATAAAATCAAACGAAGTCGAGCTGATAAGAGGAAACTTATTCGAAAATAAATGTCGTTTCACGATTTGCCTTTCAAACAGCCTGCGTATAGGCTATAGACCTTGCGAATCTGGTTCATGTAGATCACTCTAACTCTTCTATATAGCGAACTACTGTTCCAAACAGAGGTATTCTCCGTCAAAGTGGCCTCTTTTGTGTCGGTGTCGCTTTCAGAATCGCATCGAACAATCTATAGATCTTTAGATGCACTAATACAATGCACGAATATTCAATTCTTTGAATTATTCATGTCCAAACATTGATATATCGATGTAAATTTAAACATAAATTAAAAAAGAAGAAACAATCTACGTAGGCTGAAAGTCAAGAAAATCAAGGCCGGCCAATCTTTTCCTCGAATTGGCCAGTGTCATTGGTGGCAATTTCCGCGAAGGTAAATAGAAATACACTTATTGCGAATGGTATGCTGGAACATTGCCATTTTTTCGCGTCAGTCAATAAGCGTGGGTGTGCAAATTCTTAGAGTTTGAACTCTCGATAATAAATTCTTTTTTGAATTCTTGCCCGTTCTTCCCCCAAACGTAAATCACCATTTTTTACTTCAAAATAATTGACGATGATTTTTTTTTTCTTTTTGTATATGTTTTTTGCTTGTATATTTGCTTTTGACGCGTAAAAGGACAAACAAACTTTGCACCGATTAAAGAAAGACGATTGATAACGAAACCGCGATATTTCAACATTTAATCTCTTTGTTAATGAACTTTTCGAGCCATTTAATTTCAGAGATTCTCCAATTTATGAATGTACGAGAAAAAATGTTTAAGTAAGATCGTCCCTTTTCGAAAGTTATGGTCAAGTAACATTGGCCACACCTGTGTTACGTGCCCACCCGTTTCTGCCATTTATGTTCTTGATTAAACAACGATTACAGAAACGAGATAGACTCTTTAAATATACGTAATTGTTATATTTATTGATCCGATGGTTATTTCATTGGCCTCTTCTTCTATGTTGGAACAGCAATATCGAGCTACGCGAAAGAAATTTCTATTACAATACGAATTTATTTCAATTTTGTAATATCCAAGTAATTATCCATTTATCATATATTTTTCGAACGATCTCGATTCCTTTCGCTTGAATGAAAGTTGATTGCTCCGCGTATCTTATCATTAATTGAATTCAAAATAAATCTACTAACGATTAATACGACGTTCATTATCTAACGAGCACGACGTGCGTGATTCGCGTGTGCAGTGGTGAGAAGTGCATTGCGGCGCGTGTGCTTGGCTTTGAGCATTGGGATTAAGGCTTTAAAACTAAACAGCTGCTTCCTCTGACCGGTTATATTTCCCGTCGAAGGATTCCAGAACTGGTTATGGAACAGCACATGACTCGTATCACGTAGGTACAGCGAAGAACGGCCGATGACTAATCGTTATTTTTCTACCTGTAATAATATATTTATCACAACCTCCCTGAATAATTTATTTTCAACTTTATTCACTGTTTAAGTTTTAAGTGATTTAACTGACGCTATTAAATTTAAATTGGAAAATCTTGTTGGTTGGAAAATGGGAAGAATTTTCTTGAACATTCAGGAGATAGAAAAGATTACGTATATTCATTTGTATGCAAAGTTGCATACATCTGCGTACAACTCGTATGGAGAAGCACTGTTCGGAAACATGATTAGGATGCTTCCAAAACCTTCCATAGGCGATGCATATACATAACTGCATTCTGGCAGTTTTTACTTGTCAACGAGTTTGGCGCGATGCAACAAAAAAAAAAAAAAAAAAAAAGAAAATATTCGTTCGTTTACTTAATAAAATTAAACGATCTCGAATTGATAATGAATGGATGTTTTTTCAGTTACTTGCAAAATATTTACCAATTTCAATTTGTTAAGTTAATAAAGAGTAAAAGAGAAAGAGAAGGGAAAAAGAAATAAATTTACGTAACCTTTAGATAAAATTTAATTTTTCAGACGAAAAATTAATTTTCATTTAATATTATTAATTCTTTCAACAAATGTTGTCATGAAACAATGACTTATATATGATTCATTCCATGTTATTAATATTTATTACACTGCATTTGATATCAACGTATATTGAATAAAACATCTTGGTTAAAATTTATTTGATGACAACATATTTCATAATATTAAACGAACATAACAACATTACGGTGTTTACAAGCGTTTACAAAGTTCCTTTTAATCTACTGTTCAAATTATCAACCTTGAATTCAACTTGAATATTAAAGTCAATATCGTTAATGGTTTTAGAAAATCATTTCGTAACACGTGATATGATATTTAAATCAAAAAAATAAAAATTCTCAATATAAAAATCCGTATGCTTTTCTCAATACAATCAATTATCTAATCATATGTTATATTATCGATAATTTTTGTAATAAAATTTCAATGTTTATTAATGCCTAAATTTGTCGGGAATTTAACACGCATTAAAACGAACAAGATCATTGTTCACGGTTTCTTTTACCGTACAATTTCAACCGAAAGTGTCTTTTACGACGTCGTAACTAAGCAAACCTTTACGCTCTTTCACGTCCTATAATTTTATTAATACATCACTGCCAATTTATAACGTCCAGGAAATAAAGCTATTTTTACGAAAAATATCCTTCCATTCGATCGTAAAGCAGAATAAGCCTAGAGATAAGGAATACACTATCGTGAAATTACGACGCGGAAAATTAGGTTTCAGGCTATAAAAGATAAAAAAAAATATCTTCGATTTCGTTGCCTCACCGTCAATTATTCGCCAATTATCCTAAAATCGTTAAAATTTCGAAATTTCTCGAAACTCATTATCGAAATCAAGGCAATTAATCGATGAAAATGGAAGCCTCCAGTCTTGCGCCATCGAAGAAAATTGTTTTGTCGAAGTAGATAAGGTCGAGCTATATCGTTTCGAACTTAATTAACGAATTTATAATCCCTGTCGTTTGCCTTCCGATTCAAATTCCTCGTGGGAATCGATCAATCGCCGTGTATATTTCCAATCTCTGGATTGGAAAACCGTTTTCCAATCCCGTCGCCTTTGTTCCTCCAGGAAAATTTACGCGACGTAAATTTAAATCTCGACGTTTCCTCACAATGTATTCGCGCCTGAGTTGCATCAATGTTAACATTGTTAACCGACGATAATTACGTTTTCATTACGCGTGGAATAGTACCTTACAAATTAATATTCTTCGACTTACTTACGTAACGCTCGTATATTTTCATCGTTTGAAGCTTAAACCAATGATTATCTCACAGATGAGACGAATTTCCTGAACGAACAATTGCGTATGCGTAAATTAACTTTTTTTTGCGGGTATAAACATATCGTTATGCGGACAGACAACATTGTCAAAGGAAGCAATAATTGTCAAAGAAAATTGGTTTTATCTTCGCTTTTTTGATTTACAGTGTTTCCAATTTATTTCTCTTTCTTATTAAAAAAAAAAAATTGAGATTTGCCATTGAATGACTGCTACTTCGTATCCAAGAAAATTCTCCATTTTCCCTGATCCCTTGAAAAGCAAGGAACGAATGCGAATAAAATTAGAATAGCGGATCGATTTGCGCGAGTCGGTAAATGAAACGACAGACAATTTGTGACGTGTTGTATTGAAATACGGTCACCGATTTCTTTATCGCGTATCGTCATGATAAGTTATTCTCGACGATTTATACTTTCTTTTTTTTTTCATAAATATTGATCATTTATTTTAAAAAAATTCTTTTTTACGATTACCTTTTTATTCCGCAAAAAAGAAAAAAAGAATCAATTCAGATTTCTCTTCTCGAGAATCGTTTAAATTAAAAGTTCCTTTGCAATGTTGAAACCTTGTCTGATTCTTGATGGACTACTAAAGTCTACTAATCAACAATTCTATCTAAAAATATACAGATCGTAAGATCGTCGTTTGTCGAACAGAAATAAATTCACGAAAAAAAAATCGTATCACATTGCATTCTCATTACGACAAACTGTTAAAAACTCGAACAATTGGTATTCGTATTTCCTTTATTCCTTTTTTTATTAAAGTTTATCATAGTTATTACATAGAGCTAATTAAAACTATTGAAAACAAGCTTTTTTTGTGTTTTGTCCTCCGTGCGAAAAATTCGCATCACGATTCGATAAACTTTTATTTACGAAAGAGGATCGCATTGAGGTTTCGAATAAGTGATTCTGTCAATCGTAGAATCGTAAATTGTCAATTTTGCATATCGTGTCATTTTCAATTACACTTTATAGTTTCGTCACTTTAAAACATAGCGATCGATTGAATTTATAGCGAATTGTGCCCCCAAGTGGAAAAAAGAAACGGTTCATTGAGCGACATTGCACGTTTCATTGCAATTCAATGCATTCTTTAACCTTACGAGCCATCGTGATGAATTTCTTGGCATATTAAACAAACGGACTGTGCACCTTGAATAAAAAATTAGCTAACATTTCGTTCTATTTAATTATATCATATCGAATATGCGAAATATATGTAAACATATGTTTTATTGATATTCTAAAGCCAAGAAACTCGTTTGCATTCACATCGCATGAAATATCAAGCAAATATTATTACAATTGTCATCTTTTCGTGCTCTTATCGCGAAGAATCCTTCTCGTGATCAACTTTCAAAACATTATTAATCAAATTTCACAATATGTTGTGTCGATTAAGCGTACTTCCTCTTTTTCGTTTGCGTCGCAAATATTAGGATAAAGGAATTCAGGCGTTTTTTACTTATCGAAAAAAAAAAAAAAAAAAAAAAAACGAAAAATAAAATTCGCCAAAATATCCATCTATGCTTATGCCAATCGAGCATGACGATAAATCTTTTTTTATCCGTCTGGTTTTCCTTATTAATTAATACAATTTCATACGATATTACGAGAAAAAAAAAGTGATAATTGTAAAACCTTTTAACACTAACTTAAAAATAAACGGCGAAGAATGCAACGATTAACACGTTCGATGAATTATTAGAATCCCATTATTATCCACCTTTTTCATTATTTCTAAGAGAATTTCTTTTTCAATTTTTGTTCGAAATGTTCCATGATTTTAGAAACTTAGATATGAAAATTAACATACGAATTATCTTGTTATTCGTCTATACGATATTGACCGATTTAAATGTTAAGGAGAAAAAAAAAGGAAAAAGATTGATATCGAATATTGAAGGGTATCATAGTTTTATGGTTCATCAATAATTTAGAATATATTTGCGAGGAAATAATTCAATAATTTCGCGAAAAGGAATTGCACAGTTTGCGGAAAAACTAAGTTTTCTAAATCGAATTTGATCGCAGAAAATCGTTTTCACGCAAGAGGTCTTTTTATTCGGCCTGCTCGATGCAGATAAAGTCAATAGGTAATTTCACGGCAATTTATTATATTGGCAGTAAATCATTCGCTATCTATCTCGTTAAAAGAAGAAAATGGAATTTCCTCCAATGGAAAACGTGGCATTTGAACAAATTCGATATTTTCGATTGCCAATCTTTTTTGGTAATAATACATATTATCAAATCTTTTTCACAATCTTGCGACAGAGTAGAAGATTAGATTTTAAAATCTTTGGAAAAAAAATTTATTACCAAATCCATCCTTCCTTTCTCATTTAATCTCGAAAGGTGTTTAAACGTAGGTAAGACGATTTCAATGGTCCATATTTTATCCTGAACTTTCATTTCTGGCGAAAGTATTAAATAATTCAACTTCTATATATCCCTGTATGTACGATGCAAAATTACTCGATTAAGTTAACATCGGTAATTTAATCCAATCAAGCAATGGGATCAAGCTCGTTACTCGATGGAATACAATATCGATAATGATGGTCAAGTTTTATCATGTTTTCCTTTCATATCGACCGTTTCAATTTTTCTTTTTTACACAACTTGCTTATATCTTTCTGATGAAATTGAAAATTAGATAATCCCATTTATGGATAAATGTTTTGTTCAAATATCACGTGAATGAAAGATATAAATAAAAGATAAAATTATCGCAACAAATGTTTACCGATCAAAAGACTAGTAATATATATATTATATATTCGATATATCTCGAAAATATAAATAATTCTCAATCGAAACATTTGTAATTCATTTACCTTTACAAGTTCAATAATCAAACATATTTTTAACGAGACTCAATCTCTACTCTTATCTTATATACCTGAATCACTCTTTGTCAATTTTTCAACAACATGCATAAAATTAAACAGCCTCGATTAGAAACGAAATATAATTGATCGCGATTGATTCTTACCGTATTATCTATATTTGACCGATCGAAGCTCGTGTCGTACAATTTCATGAAAAAAAAAAAAAAAAAAAAGAATCTAGATTAACTCGATTAACAACAACATGGTTGATAAAAATACCTTTTATTATTTAAATTGAAAATATTAGTACTGGGAATAAACTCGTTCTCGACGCAATAAGTTAATCGAGTTAAAAACAATCGATAGACCAACCCCCTTCTAAATCGAGACAATTAAAAAAAAAGTTACTCTCGCGTGCAATGCAAGCACCACGATTGTTTTCGACAAAGAAATAAATCGATCGATGGTTAAATTTTAAAAGAGTATGATCCGATTAGCATGTCAAAAATGGCACTGTTGTATCACTTTGATACGAGGCCAACGTAAACAACGTTATCCGAGAGGAATGATAAAAACGGTATATTAATTCTAGCCATGGTCGTGCCTATATATGCCATCGTATTTTCTAGAGAGATTAGCAGAAACAAAAGCATATGTGTGAATATAATAAATACAATGTGATTCATGTATGACCTACTTACGCTTTCATAAATCCGTTATTAATATAAAATTCTTTTTCCTTAATGTTTTCACGATGCATTCCTAATCTTTTTTTAATCTTATTCCAATCTTTGATCTCTAATGTTTTTCAAAGCATCAATAAGCCTATATAATAAAGCTTTCCCTTCGTTGGAAAAAAAGTAAATGGATAATTCTCGATTCGAAGGAAACTCGAAATATGTTGCATGTTATCAACGTGGCTATATTTTTGAAAAAAAAAAAGAAAAAAGAAAAATGTTCTCTTTTTCTTGCAAAGCAATCGAGTTTACGCGACGATGCACTATTTACAAAGTTCATCGTTCTCCCGTTCTCTTACATTCTTCAAAATAACTTACTTGTGAAAAGCTTTGTTTGATAACGATTTTAAATTGCCGTGATAAGATCGTTCTCCTTTTTTTTCTCTCTCTCTCTCTCTCTTTCTCTTTCTCTTTAAATCCGTCATCCCTTGTATCTATTGCATATTGCAAACGAATATATAATAAAAGTGAATGCGATTAAGGAAAATGTTGAATGTTTTAGGCCTAAGTGCCTGTGAGAGGAAGTCCTTTATATTCTTAAGGAAGGAATTGCCGGTCCGATTGGCCAACATTATGAAAGAGATCCATCTTCTGCCTGAGAATTTATTGAAAATGCCTAGCGTGGATATAGTTAATAATTTGTACGCCACCTCGTTCGAGGATATCATGCAGTTCGAGAAGGTCGAAGTCAACGATACCACTCTAGACAAGTGAGTCCTCCAACGTTACCAACGATCCCTTATGGTCCAATATAAAAATTATATTGATTTTTACCTTTCGAGTTTTCAACCAAAGTTGTTATCGCCTTCTTTTTCAGATTCTGTCAGACATTGGTGAAAATCAGGAACAGGCATAAGGACATCGTCGAAACGATGGCGCAGGGTGTTTTAGAATTGAAAGAGTCGCACGATGTCGATGTCCAGACGGAAAACAATATTCAATATTTCTTGGACAGATTTCTCATGTCTCGAATTTCCATTCGTATGTTGATCAACCAACATAGTAAGTAAACCTATTTTCCTCGCGTTTAATACTTGCCCTTTCGATCGAATGAAATTAATCACAGTTGATTAAAAAAAGAAAATTATCTTTGCCGCAGCTCTCTTGTTCGGTAGCGAATTAAATGGACACAGTAGACACGTGGGATCCATAGATCCATCCTGCGAGATAAGCAGCGTTGTGAAAGACGCGTATGAGAAAGCGAGATTACTCTGTGATCAATATTATATGGCTAGTCCGGAATTGATAGTCCAACAGCATAACGGCAAGTTTGAAAAATGTTGATTGTACTAGAGTAATATGTACTAGTAAGTAGTTACGACATGGCCAATTTTCTCTAATAGGTATAGTATAAAGTTGCCATCGTGAAACCTTTCAAATCTCATGATAATGAAAGATAACACTGTACTTAGAAATCTAGAGAATTTTTTTCAACCGTGGACGATGAGAAAAAGCTTTCATCGTGGCAATTTGTTGTGTATTCTTTGCGAAAAATAAAATATATATATATATATGTGTGTGTGTGTGTGTGTAATATAAAAAATAAGATAAAGAAAAAGAGAACGGAGAGAAGAGATCCTTATCTGATTGTAATTAAATTTGATTCTTTTCAGAGTACGATCGATGTAGCCAAATTAGAATAGTTTACGTACCGAGCCATTTGTTTCACATGCTGTTCGAACTTTTCAAAAACAGTATGCGAGCTGTTATGGAACACCATAGTTCGAACGGGGAGTATCCAGCGATAGAAGTGATCGTGTCGCGTGGTAAAGAAGATATATGCGTTAAGGTAATTTACAAATCGTGCCTCGACTTTGAAAACGATTATTTGAAACTATCGAGGCATTGATGCGTGAATTATGAACGATCGAATTTATCAATAAACGTCTGTTGCGTGGAAATTGTATCTTAAGTTTCGCCAACATTGATATTCAATATCGGCGCATCAGATATTCGATAAGGAACGTGCTCGCGATCAGATTATATCAGTTGGAATATTTTTAAAACATTAGAATCAATACTCGTTTGATTTGTATGAAGCGATAACTTTGCGCTTCGATTAATTTTTTTCCCTATTTTTCCAGATGTCCGATAAAGGTGGCGGTATTCCTCGCTCGCAAATGGACCATTTGTTCAAATACATGTACAGCACGGCGCCCAGGCCAACGAAAACCGATGCTCATACAGTTCCACTTGCTGGATACGGTTACGGTCTTCCAGTATCTCGATTATACGCCAGATATTTCCACGGTGACCTCGTTCTCCAAAGTTGCGATGGTTTCGGTACCGATGCCATTGTATACCTAAAGGTAAAACGTATCGCAATTTCATCACATCGTGTACAAATGTGTTCTCCACATTCGTTTGTTCGATTATTCTATTGTTCTAAACCGTTTCAGGCTTTGTCGAACGAAGCCAACGAGCTGTTGCCAATTTTCAACAAGACTTCCTCCAAATTTTATCGAACTCAAGTATCAACCACCGATTGGAGCAGTCATTGCGGTGGTGGAATGGCAACGAGGCAATTACGTATGAGTCATGTTCAAGGACACAAACTTCCACGTGGAATGGAGGTTAGGCATTGTTAACGAAATTTCATCTCTATGGACCAAGGAAGTAAGTATCCACTTACTTACTAGATGTTCGACATTTGTCAGAATGGAACAGATTCTTCGCTGCGGTGTTTATTGTACAGAATTTAGAAGAAAAGAAAGAGAGAGAGAGAGAGAGAGAGAGAAAAGAAATTCGTAGACGAGCAGCGCAAATTTATTTTTAAAATGTTATCGTATTCTATGTATAATTTGATTCAAAATTATTGAAAGCACTGTTTCGATTTATAACTGAATATTTATTGATGTGATTTTCGATCGATGTATTGATAGATGTATCTTGCATTTGAATCGCTCTTAGTGTTTCAGTGTTTCCTTTTTAATGAGATGTTTCGCTTACGAGCACCGATACGATCGGCGGAACATTGAGATTCGAGAACATTGTTAATCAAGACAACTGCTTCCGTTGTAGGTGGAAAAAGCCTTGCGACTTTCGTGTCACGATATCTAAAGAAGTAGCAAGGATCCAAGCAATCGAGATCCTTCGTAATCGCGTAATATATTTTTCACGATAAACCGTAGATAACCGTGATGGTTACAGCGACGTTATTGCCTCGTCAAAAATCTCTTACTAATCGTCGTGCCCGCGGCTACAATGCTCACATATCACGATTCTTGAAATTTAACTGCATTTTAAATATTTCCGATATATATTTTTTTTATTAATTTTATAAATTTATGTTTTTAAGATATTTTTAAAAATCGTAGAAATTAATCTGAACGTTCCATCGAGATCATTTCTTTATATATACGTATATATATATATATATACACACACGCATACATACATATATGCCGTGCTTTTAATAAATCAGCATTTTAATTCTCTTTTTTCGAACATTTTTTTTTTGTTCAAACACGAAACTGTTCGAACGTATGCTGACTTAACTTTGCGATCGATCGATACAAAAGCGAGAAGGAATTTTCCACTCGTTAGAGGAATTTTTATAAAAAAAAAAAAAAAAAAAGTATGCCACAAATGTAAAACTGTGATTTGATACGTGATTTTAGTTAAATATAGCTAGACAAACTTTGAACTTGTTAATCTACGACGTCATTCGCGTTTGTGAATTTTAACTACGTTATATAGTAAAAAAAAAAAAAAGAAAAAAAAAAAAAAAAAATAGAAAAAAATAGAAAAAAAAGGAAAATTAAAAAAAAAAGATCGATAATTTAATAATTGCTTAGAAATGTGAGTTAATAAATAAAATGACATGCGAGTCGGAAGGACTGGCTGAAAAGAAAGAATAATAATATTAATGTTCACTTTATCCTGGGAAAGTATTTTGTATACCGTATATACAATCAAGTTCTTAAGAAGCATTTCAGGTGTGTGTTTTAAATGAATTTTTATAAGACTAAACATAGAAAACAAAGATTTATACGCAATAAATTCATTTCCGCGACTCTCGAGTCTCGTTTTATATTCTAAGGTATTTCCTCCGATTCATTATAATGAACGTGTGAAATTCAGCCAGAAAGATACTCGAATTCGAGGATGATGCAATATCGTCGCGTTCATGTTACCTTATATATATTCTTATTAACATTGTATTTTCCAATGTGAAACGTACCTCGCTCCTGTACATTTTATTCGAAATTGTATAACGAGGTTTCAATATGTTTTTAACGAGTAGAGTACGATGACATTTAATTTTCACAAAGAAACAGGCACAACCAGCGTACCTTAGAATACTAAACAATTTTTTTTAAATCTTTACCTCCCTTAGGATTTATCGTATAAAGAGACTGCATAATTTGCGTATCCTGCACGTTTTCTACGATTTATATTAATCATTTTGTTTTATTTCTTTAAAAGAGAATGAGAAAAGAGAGGACGAATTTAAAAAGTGTTTGCGAACTGTTCCTAAATCGATGCATTTTATTATTTTAAAAAGGGACAGTGTCACTTTTTGAGGCGAATGTTTGGTTCTGTTGTGGATCATTCGATCCGACGGATGATCCCACGATACATGCGTATATATATATATATATATATTTTGAATGTATGTTTTGTTCACCCATGTATATAAATTTTTAATTTTTAGAGCACTCGGAATATTTGTCTAGACGACAATTTTTAGCTGTAATTATAAATATGTAGGGGAAAATTTCGCGCACGTAACGCGAAAACGTGAAACACTTGTAAAACATTGTTAATAAACATATTACAAGATAAAAAAAATGTGTAATATTTTCTTTTTCTTCTTCTTCTTCTTCTTTTTTCCTTTTATAATTCATTCTTTGAACACTAAATATGGCCACACGGTGTACAAACGGAAGAGTTTGTTTGAAGAGTTGAAGTTCAAGAGTTCGGTTCGATGTGGACACAGAACAAGGCGATGGAATTAACTAATCTAACAAGTAAATACATTAGAACGAATGTAATGCATTGCTGTAGTTTTATTACGTTTGGCCGTTTATGCGTACCATAAGTATGAGTTCGCTTTTCGACAAATGTTCCTCTCTTACCGCACGCTTCGTTCGCTAAAAATAATAAAAAATACTTAGCAATAACAATTATTTTCATTTATAAAATAACGCTACCCTATGTGTATCTGGTGTCCATCAACTGTGTCAATTAATAGATTTAACAGAACGTTCTACAATTCGAATTGGCGAGTAAAACTTACAATTATCATTGATCGGACGGTGCTCGTTTCTTTCTTCCAGTTCTCTGGAGCCGAACAATCGATGATAATTTACAAATCAAATATATAGCATGTTTGCACGTTTGATATTTGAACTTTTTTTTTAAAACGGTAGCAGAATAAACGATAAAAATAAATAATAATTTGTTTTGACATGAAAGAAAAACGCTTTAAAATGTAATTAAATAGAAAAGAAATTAAAATATTTTCGAACGATAATAAAAAAAAAAAGAAAAGGAATAAAATTAACGAAATTGATTTTGATTAAAAAACAATAAGATTGTTTATCGATTTAAAATTGGTTAAAAAAAATAATAATCGAAGCCATTGGAACCGATTCGAAACGTTTCTGTCGTTGAGCGCTTTCAAAATCCTTTTTATTTTTTTATTTTTTTATTTTTTTTTCTCAAATTTGGCACCGTCAATTTTAACTCGTTCCCCTTTTCCAGCAACAAGAGAATACATTCAACTTCAAATTAATTTACAGACCAGTTATTCTGATAAAAGTTTATCACAATAATAAAGTTTCTTTTTTTTTTTTTTTTTTTTTTTTTTTAGTTGCGCGTCCTATAAGTTTTGTGTACAAGTTGTTCCTCGATTGTAAATTCCAAAAATACAATCTTGTATCCTTCTCATATCTGCACGAATTTCCAAAAAGATACTGCTAATGAATTGCACGTATCGTTTCGTTCGATTTCTTGTCGTATGAAAATTAATTACACGCATCGTGGAGATTTTCTTTTTAAAGCTATCAAGCGATTTTTCAGTGATCTGGGAAAATATTAGCTATTAGAAATTCACAGAATATACATTTCACATTTTCTAATCATTCCACGAGCGAGATCCAGTCGAAAAAAAAGAAAAAAATGAATTCGTAATAGATTGGAAAAATAGATTGTTGTAGAAACTTTGAAAAAAAATTAACATTTATTGTAACAATGAAACGATGATTTCGGATAGATTTCGGAAAATTAATAAAGAGCAAATAATTGATATCGTACGAATTTTATTTAGATTTTTTCAACGGATCCCGCTTTTGCTTTCAATTTCTCTTAAAATCTCTCGATCAGGCAAAAAACTATTGCTAGAATTCCCTTAAATTGTTATTCAACGATTTATCTATGCTACAATGTATATACAGCATGGCAGTGATTACACACTCTATATTTCCTTGCCGTACAATACACGTGCTACAAAAAATTTTGCAACGTTAAAACTGCTCGATTCGAGTTTGCGAATGATCGTATTATTTCATCGACCGTTCGCAGGTCTTTCCTCGTCGAATTTTAATGTCCCCGATCGATTCAAGATTTGATGTCGATCAACGTAAACGTATCTGTCAATCCATCTGTCAGAAGACATACTTGTCATGACTTTATCAATGTTAGAAAGAAATTACTTCTGACAAATCACAAAATGCGCCTGTTTTTACGTCTACGTATCTCCATCGTGTAAATTAATCGATTTATAATAGATTTTTTACCAAAAAAGCGAGCGCAAAGTCTTGGAAAATCCACCTAATTGATTACATTATTTTTATTTTGGACAGTAAATTTGGTCGTGAATAGATTTGACGAAATTCGATGAAATTTTTTAGTTTGGTTAGAACAGAAAATCCTGGTTCCAACAGGACAGTCGGAGGACAGTCGATCTTCAGATGAAATTCGAACGGCTCGTATGTACATGAAAATAATTTTGTACATTTAGGAAATTAATTTTCCTAATGTTTCTTCTCATGCGCGTAGAAAAATAAAGAAAACGAACGTCAATTTAACACGGAGACAATAATGAGCGTCTTGTGATTGCGAAAGGTATATGTTTTAA